ATGGGGGACAGACACGACTCAGACAGTAGAAGGGCTAGGGATGACGGACAAAGGGGAGGGTCAACAGGAAGAGTGCCGCACCACTGTGGAGACGGCAACTATGTCACAGAACAAAATGTGCAAGAATCCTGACTGGCAAAACCATTTGCCCCTGTGTCACTTTTTTTTCCAAAAGCAACCATTTTTAAATCTGTATCAGAAGGTGATAAAGGAATGATGATTAAGAGGTCTTAACTATCATTTCCTAAGCATCACTTCTTTAAATACCTGAACCCAATACCATTTTGCTCGAGCTCTACCTTGCACCATCAGAAACGAGAAGGAACAATGTGGAGAGGCAGGCCGATGATAAACTGTCCTGTCTCAGAGGCGCGCACTTGGATTCACACTCGCAAACACAATCACTTCTTTGCCGCGCCAAGGTTAGGTCTGGTCACCCTCACCTGTGGGCAGCGTCTTCACTGCCTCTTCATACACAGCACAGCACCTCTCCTCCTTGCGGTCCAGCTCCACCGCTCTGGCTTGTTTCGTCGCCGGCTGCTCTCCTGGCTGAGACTCCATCTTCAATTCTCGCCGGGCCACATAATCCCAGGTGAGAGGGTCATCTGTGTGTTGCACCTGAAGGCTTAGAAACACACTTACTGGCACCTGCCCTACAACAAGAAACTCACTCAGAACACTGGACAGTCTTCTACACTCTAAAACTGGACCTGGAACACCTCCTAACAATGTCTGTACCGCGAGAGGCACAGCCCCACAGACTCCCCGATGACGCCTATCGATGGGCCAGAGCTGCCGCACAGGTACTCAGTTTGACAGCAATCACAAATATGAACTTTCAAGTAAAACTGCTCAGGGTCCAATCACCACTTATCAATGGACAAGCCTCCTTGGGCCCTCGAGCCTTCGTATCCACTCAGGGTTTCCTCAACAGAAGCAGTGAAAACGCACAAGTGAAAGGTATTCCAAGAAGCAAACTGATGAAAGTTCTGTTCATCTGCTGCCAAAGTGCGAGGGCACCGACTTGTGGAAGTGCCCAAGAGAGGAAAGACAGGGGCAAAAACGAGAGGGCTGAAGTTTCTAGTAAAATGGAACTAAAATATAATGGCATTTCTCCACAAACTTTTGGAAGCCTTTAGTAATTCCTTAACTATGTAAAACTATCTACAGCATGTTAACTACAAGTATCTGTGAGTACAACACGTTTTTATATTAACAAGATCTGCCAAGAGAGCAAGATGGAGATTTTATTACTTAGAATAATCTTATTACTGAATGAAAACAAAGTATTTTCCAAGGAAAACCAGTGAGTGTGAGACCGAAAATTTCTTCAGGAGCATAGTTTGTTTGTTTTTTTATGTAATATTTCACTTTCCTTGCAAAGATTTAGTATGGTATCTGCTTTACCCTCTCCTAAATATCTAACTCCAGGGGGGAAAATGAGGAGCCGATATTAAGGGCTTAAGTGGAAGGCAAATGTTTTGCGAATCATGATGGCAACAAATGT